AGCCATCAGATTAAAATCAAGGGATAAGATTAGAAATTTCTTTTAAAACTCATTCTCTAATGTTCTCATTGAGACATTAAAACAAAGACATTGCAGCTTCAAGAGCATGAGAAACTTTGAAATTGATTGAGAAACTAAATTTGGTTATTTCATTCATTCCTGAGATAACAACTTCATCTGACATTTCTACAACTAACCTCAAAGCTCCTTCTCTAACCAAGACATTACAGTTAAAAACAATTCCATAAAATAGAAATCTCATTCCCCCATTACTTTCACTTTATTTTATTTGTTTCATTTCCAATATAAAGTCATTCTTCAGCACATCATGAATCTTATTACTTTGTAACCCTTATAATAATGTTGATCCCCCAGATTTTGTTAGTTAGTTTTTGGTTGATAGCCATTTGAATAAATATAGGAAGTTTGCTTTGGAAGTGGTTGCTTTTGCTGTAAATGTCTATTGTAAACAATTTGTAAAAAACACAATTTTATTGACTCCATTAAAGTGTCTTACAAAAAGCAACATGACAATTTTAAAGAAATGGAGAATGAAAAAAAATTAACCACACATCTAGAGCACAGAAATAGATGTCTTATATGAATTAAATTATTTTGTGTAGTGTAAAATTATCATCAGCAATGTGTTTGTTGTAATGTCTCAATGATAACATTAGAGAATGAGTTTTAAAAGGAATTTCTAATCTTAGCCATTAATTTTAATCCAATGACTGAGAATTGTTCATCTCACTTTCATATAATTTTGCTTTTCTCACTAGATACACCCCAATAAAATTAAAGATTTGTTGCACATATATATATATATATATATATATACACGTATAAATAAAAGTATTTAAATGAATTGTGAATATGATAATAACTCTTTATACTGTAATTATATAGACTATTAAGATAAATGGTTGGTTGAGTGGGGCACATAATGATGCAACATATTTAATCTTTATTAATGTAGGTGGATTTCATGACATTTAATGTTTTGAGATTGAGCATGCCAACGTAATTTTTCCCTTATAATTCACTGCCATATGGTAATTGTTGTGGTATAAAAATTAAACTTAAGTATAAGTGAAAACTAACTTATGTCATTGTAAACCGTTCTCTCATATATGAGTAGAACATATGACTTACAAGTAAAATGTTTATCTAGCACATGCATATTGTGTGAAATAAATTTAATATATAGAGTTAATTACACTCACACATCCTGAGTTTTAGTGAAATTACACAAACCACCCCTCCATTTTTTGTCCTTACACGAATCACCCCTCACTCTTACACAAACCACCCCTGATTTTATACATATATTACACTAACCACCCCTGATTAGATATAAGTGTAATATTTTAAACAAAAAACGTGTGATGGGTGTAATTAAGTTAAACAAAATATTATGTATTGTGTAGACAATTCCAAATAGTAAAAAACTGAGTGTCTTTTTATAATTTTTGTTTCATTATACAATATATTAACAATTCTAAAGAGATGTTTATATAACTCTTATATTATTTTTGTAATGAACCAAATAATGAAGATGCATTGACTTTTATATTATTTGAATTTGTCTACACAATGTACAATATTTTATTTAACTTAATTACACACATCACATGTTTTTGTTTAAAATATTACACTTACATCTCATCGTAATATATGTACAAAATTAGGAGTGCTTCGTGTAAGGACAAAAAAGGGAGGGGTGGTTTGCGTAATTTCACTAAAACTCAGTGGGTATTAGTGTAATTAACTCTAATATATATCTAACATGATACTTCACCCATCTCATAAAGATAGTAAAAAATTGCACAAACTATATTGTCCCAATTATGTGCGAGAATAACGGGAGATGCATCCAAACGGAAAATTTAATTTTTTTTAGTGTACTTTGACTTTTAAATTACAGTTTTAGTGTAAGTTTTAGAAAATTTACAAAACTATCGTATATTTTTTAGTATTCGTGGATCTCATCCCAGCTTTTCCAATTTTTGCAGGGATTCGTGGACCACATCCCAGCTTTCCCTTTTTTATATATTATAATATAGTTTACGTTGGAAGGTTTTTTATATATAATTATATAGTTTATAATTAAATTAAGGTTTTATTTATTTAATTAATTAATTTTATTAATTAAATTAATTGATTATTTATAATAATAATTAAATTATTATTTAAATTAATTTATTAATTTTATTAATTAATTTAAATATCCTATTACTATGTATTAATTTTTAAATTTATGACTAGTAACACATAAATGAGGAATAATAACAACATAAAAAGTCGTACATGTTTACATTCTATTTTCTCATTAAATTCCATTTCTTTTCCAAACAAAATTAGTTTATATGATGGTTAAATAAATAAATAAAAATTGCGTTATAATTAGTTTATATGATGGTTAAACTATTATTTTGTTTAGAAAGGAAAGAAAATTTAATGAGAAAATAGTATGTAAACATGTACAACTTTTTATGTTGTTATTATTCCTCATTTATGTGTTAGTAGTCATAAATTTAAAAATTTAAAAATTAATACATAGTAATAGGATATTTAAATTAATTAATAACATTAATAAATTAATTTAAATAATAAAATTAATCAATTAATTTAAATAATTAATTAATTTAATTATTATTCTAAATAATCAATAATTTAATTAATAACACTAATTAATTAAATAAATAAAACCTTAATTTAATTATAAACTATATAATTATATAAAAAACCTTTCAATATAAACTATATTATAATATATAAAAAAAGGAAAGCTGGGATGTAGTCCACTAATCCATGCAAAAAAGGGAAAGCTGGGATTTGGTATCCCTGCAAAAAATGGAAAAGTTGGGCTGAGGTCCACGAATACAAAAAATATACACTAGTTTCATAAATTTTCTAAAACTTACACTAAAACTGTAATTTAAAAGTCAAAGTACACCCAAAAAAAAAAGTAAATTTTCCCATCCAAACCCTAATAAGTAAGGTATTCAAAGTAAGTTATCTACAACTTTGACTAATTTCATAATAAATTTTAAAATCTCACTAAATATAATCAGTTGTCAATGAAAGTAATGCCCAAAACAAACTAGACATTAGGCCTTCTCTGAACTCTTACTTACCATGGATTTTGGTTTAGATAATAAAAGTATCAATGTGACTGAAAAATACTTTGATTGGAAAAAATAAAAGAAATTTTGAACATTTGACTTTCCATTAGCTTGAATGACAGTCAGTCATAATTTGACTCCTTTAAGCTTTAGCATACACACACAAACCAATTGGAACTAATTATGAATGTACTTCAATGCAGAGTATTTAAGCTTTATGATATACACATAAATGTTACTGCCAATAAATTAACATCTTTCAAATTTACATGAATATGAAGGATTATGCGATGGAACAAGAGTGGTTGTAACACAGGTTGGCAAACCATATCATCGAAGTAAGGATAATGTCCAGTAAAAATGTTTTCAAAATGTTTTATATTCCATGAATGAGTTTGTTCCATTCATCATCACCTTTCAAATTAACACGGAGACAATTTCCATTGATTGTTTCATATGCTATAACAATCAACAAGTCACATGGTCAATTACTAGCAAGTGTTGAGTTATATCTATCTCGACATGTTTTTGGCATTGTCAACTATATGTCGCTTTTTCCAGAGTTCAAATCATAGAAGGACTCAAATTTTGATACATGAAAAAGAAGGATAACCAACTAATACTACAACAAATATTGTCTTTAAGGATATGTTTGGGAGTTATGAGGGAAAGTGTGGAGATGGACGAAAGGACTACGAAGGGGAAAGGGGAGGAGAAAGGAAGGCAAACAGGACAAAGAAAGGCAGACCAAACCTCTCTTTCGTATAGGAGTACGAACTTTAGATAGATGAAGAGTAAAATAATGATAATATAATAATATTATTTATTTTTCCTTTAAAAATACAATTAACAATTGGAAATGAACAAAATGTAATTATATAATTTTACTAAAAATATTTAGGTATTTCAATAAAAACCTCAAAAGTCATTCATTCATTTACCTTCCAAAACACAATCGCAAACAAGGCTTTCTAAAACCTATCATGAAGTAAGTATATGCTAATCAGTGTACTTTTCAAATAATCTTTCAAATGCAATTCCAATGTTAATGAATAATTACTGTTTTCATATAAGGCGGTGCAATATGGTGCTATTGGGTTCTAAAAATTAAACATTCATGTCATCCATAACAATTTGTTGCATTCCTTTAGTAACATTTTACTAATTTTATTATATTCTAATTCGTTGCAGGTTTCTTACTAGTTTAATATAGAAAACAGTGTTTACAGATTAATTGAAGTTGATTGTCATGCCTAGTTTTAGAATTTAGAGTATTGCAATTGCAAAACAATGAAATAACACATCCTTCATCTTGTGTTACAAACCACCATTAGGTTATTCAGTTTTGAGTTCCCATGATGTTTTTCATAATCTCATACGACCATGGATAACTAATAGCTTAGTAATATAAAGTTTTTATGGATAACTAATACAAATTATGCTTATAAGATAAGAATAAATTGATCTAATTTCAAAGCAGATTTGAGAGTTTCCTTTCCAGGGCCATAATATGTATGGTAGTTGAATTTAATGGTATTTGCAAATTTTGAATAATTTCCATAATTTTATGGGAAACTATGGATAACATGTATCAATCTTTAGTAGTCCATAATTTGAGAAAATTATTCTCATGAGAGAGTCAATTGGAAAAATATATAATTGTAGTTAATTTTCATAATTTTATGAGTAATTAAGGATGACACATAAATCTTTTGTAGTCCATGATTTGAGACGGTCAATCTTATGTGTGAGTACCAAATTTTGTCCGGCACAAAATATCTTCCCAAAAAGATAAATAATAATTTTTTTTGTAAATTCGAATTTCAATTTATGATGTTTGAATACAATGTTATAATGTACAAGATTTTTTGTCCGGGTTGATATATATTGTAATTATTGGGGCTTAAAAAAACTCCAATTACACAACTTTAAAAATTAGATTTGTTACAACTTTGGTAATATGGTAGGATATCAATTAATTATATAACATTTGACAATAAATTAATTCTAATTTACAGCATGCAATTCAAGTCATTGTCTACATCCTTAATTCAGACAATTAATAAGCATTTACATCCAATAATTCAAAACCATGTAGCATTTGGCTTTCAAGAGAGCATATTAAGGAAAAAACAGATATCCCCACTTAACTCCCTCCAATGCTTTAATGGGAGGATTCACTAGAAAGGAAGTGAAAAATTCAGCAAAAGAAATGAATCCAAACATAAATAAATAATAAGGTAAATCATAGAAGGTGAAAACACAGGTGCGATGAGAAAAAAAAGCATATGGGAAGAAATAGAGAGATATCCACACATATTGAGAAATCAGATAACAGAAGCACTCGGAGCATAAATCAAAGTACACACTCATACATCACATGAACATATACGAAGAAATCAAAGCTACGAGTAAAGATATTAACAACCAGAAGAAAAATGATACAATTGTGAAGGTAATCAACCAGGTAAGCCATTCATCCAAATCACAAAAGGAACAATGCTTTTTTTGTATGCACCTTGAACATCCGATATGTGTGGTTTATGTTAACTTGAATCACACAAAATACATTCTCATACACTCAATTTCAACACAAATACATATATGTGGTTGTTAAAAGAAAAACAGAAAGGCTTCATCTTAAAACATATGTAATTGGTTTCTAAGTTGATCAATGTTCAAACCAGTTTTCATAAGCATGCAATTAATTCAATCGCAATATCAAAGAAAATAAAAATTACTACAAAGGGATTAGGGTCTCTTTACCTGTTTTTTTAGAGCCACTGGGAAGAAGGTGGTTCCAGCCGTGAGAACCACCATAAATCGGCGCTTCCCTTTATGGTGGAGGGTCTCGATCGGTTCGAACCAAGGAAAAGGGAGATGATTCCTTCGATTTCGCTAACCCCAAACTACCGTTGTTATCGTTGGAGGAGAGAAGGAAGACAATGAAGACCATTCCTCGTCTTAATCGCCGCTGTGAGGAGGAGAATCAGAGATTCGAAATCCCAAATGGATTTCACATTTTGAAGAAGAACCCATATTCCCTCTTTTTGATTATCCTGTTTTTACCCCATCCCTTTATTTATTATTTATCCATTTTCATTTGCTATTGTATATATTATTTTATCCAAATAATCAATAATATCAATGATGAAGGTCCGCTAATTAAATATTATTCTTCGTTATTGAAGATTAAGAATGTATTTTTTTAATTGTATAAATAAAAATAAGTTATTTAAGAGTATAATAAAATTAAAGATTTCTTTTTCTTAACTATATTTTAATTATTTTAAAATATCTTTGAGATTTGATGAGTTGAGGACATTAGCTTGTGCGTCTTCATATATTTTGAAGACGATAAATTTATAACTATATTTTAATGTCTTTAATTTAATATGGTGCAGACAGTAGCTTTTGTTACTTCACCTATTTTGAAGACGATAAATTTTCAACTATATTTTAATTATTTCGAAAATCTCTTTAAGATTTGATGTGGTGCCGACATTAGTCTCTGCCGCTTTATCCTTTCCTAAAGTAGATAAAATCCTAATTCAATCAAACGAATTAACACTAATTAATTTTTATAATCAGAACCACATAGTCTTGATTTCTCTATTGCACCTAGGGATACGTAGGAGCAAGATGAACTCTTGTCAGATACAAATATAAAAAATAAAATTTTTCGCTTTAGTAATTGAATTTTTAATTATAATTTTGAGGGTATAAAAGTTCATGTTATTAGCGAGCGTACCATTTAATACGGGCAGACAGGATGCTAATACATTCCTCGATCCGAAATCGACTCCCGAATTCATAACTCTGCTTGAAAAGACAATTTTATCCAATTTGGTCTTAAATAGAGTTTCCATGTTTTAACCGCAAAAAACGTAGTGGTGACTCAAAAAGAGTTCGCGTAGCCGAAAATTGGGGCGCGAGAACTGGCGACTCCACTCGGGACACCCATAAGAGAGTCAGGCCTAGAGTCGTTAATTACATGGACTTAAGTACCCATATGTTTTTTTTCTTGCTTGTATTATTAGAATAATAAATTGTTATATGTTTACTTTTATGATTAGATTTATTATCTATGAACTTGTTATTTAACTGTCTTTGCAGCTTCTTTTTTGTGGAATATTTTTCTTTAAAATTGGCACGCTTCCTACACACTCATGTTACACTTGAGTTGGCACGAACATATGCCCTATACCCGGGTGTTAGATATTAAGATTGAGAGCGAAGAGACGTTCGCTTTGCCGGTGTTAGACTTTGTCTCATAGCATTAGCATGATGGACCACCCAAATTGTAACTAGTAATGTGAGTTAGGCCCTCGAGGGGCTTGACTCCTCTTGTTTCTAACCTACGATATTATGATTCCTTTCTTTCAAGATTGGAAGCAATTTGGAAACCTAGAAGTCTATAACCTTTATCGAGTACACTTTATTGCATATCCATGCACCCATATATCATTTCATCATATAACAATGTTATGTCACATTTAATAAGCAGGTTCCTTTAGAAAGATGATTTTAGTATAGTAAGACATAAAGACTAGTTCCGAGGTTGCGGGTTATAGCAACACCCTCTTGGTGAAGAATAAAGTGAAGTTTGAAGTGCAAGTCTTCGATGTAAGTTACTTGATAGAGAACGTCCTAAGATTCGCTAGGACGTCAAAGACCAGTTTGCAAAAGATAATGGTAGACTGATAGACCTCATCCTCATTCCTATTGACGCCAATGCTCAAAATGCTATGGGGGCCATGGCAAAATACTGGAACTCATCCTTGCGAATTTTCGAGTTTCCAAATGTAATTGCTTCTCCAACCATCAAAGAGTATGAAGTTCTCTTGGATATCGCATTGGACATTCGACTGAAGGTATAATTCTTCATAGGTACACAAGAAATCATTGACAATCTCAGAGAAGAACTAATAGGAGTGCGTCAAGCTACATCTTATATCATCAGGCAAAGGCCTTACTATGGGTTGAAGTGGAGTTTCGTGAAAAAATATCTTGACCAAGTGTTAGGAAAAGGATATTGGGATCTATTTAAGCCAACATTTGCATTGGCAATTTATGGCAGGATTCTCTTTTCTTTTGTCAATGATATGGTGGACCAGTGCGTTGTTGATGTCCTGTCCAGGTTCAAAAAGTTTGGGGTCAATCCAGTTCATGCCATAATAGAATACACTCTTCTCGCCCTCTAGAGAAGCCTAAAAAGGGTATCCCAAAATCAGAAGTTGTGCACAATTGTTGTACATATGGATGGTCACTAGATTCAAGAACCATCAGTACCAAGGTTGGAGTCGATATCCTCTATGCCGATACAGAAAAACAAAGGTCCACCTGTGCAGTTATCTAGCTTGGATGCACTATTCAATGAAGTTACCCCGAGGAATTTTGGGACCAAATGCAACATGTATGACAAGCATGAGGAGGTGATGTAGTCATGTAAGGGTTATCCCAATATGATTCTCATGAGACCTCGAGGATGCATTACTTTCACCATTGCTTTAGTACTTGGACAAATGAAATGGGGCATGATAATAGTCCCCTAGGAACAGTTGCAAGGATCTGTGATCTGGTACAAGGACAAAGAAACTACTAAAGAGACCTTAGACACGATAAGGAATGCACTAAGAAGTATCTGTGTTTTTTTAGGAAAAGTGAGTTAGGAGAACATCAAGCCTTTTATAACGACGAGTACAGGTTGTGGCGTAATGAAAGGAGTAAATGGGAGACAATCTCACCAATCTCTCCACCACAAGAACCATGCGGCCCATCGAAAAACGAACTGCTAAGGGGACATATAAAATTATTGGAAGCAAAGATAGAAGAGGCTAGAGACAAAAGCGAGAAAGACGACTTGAACAATGAGAAGCTCAACAAAGTTATCATCACAATAAGAAAATAACATGTCAGCCTCAAAATGGACTATGATCAGATGTGCACTTATTCTGGAAAATATTACTTGCTCCGGTGTCTGAAAGAGAAGGAAGCACACTTAGCTGACTACAACGAGCAGCTGAAGGCCCAACGTCATGCCACATGCAATGCCCAAGCAAAAGCAGAAACTCTTGAGCAAGAAATGAAGAAGTTACAGAAGAATGAAAGGTAAGCCTGGGACATTGTGAATGATTACCAGATAACATTGGATGAAGGACAAAAAAGAGAAGACCATCTTAAAGCTAGTCTGGAAAACACAAAAAAGACTTGTTATGATGCGCTGACAGAGGCGAGTCAACTATCTGAGCAACTTTGGATGCTCCAAAACGCAAATGGCGAATTGGTAAATAACTGGAATGAAGTGCTTAAGGAATTTCGATGGGAGAAAGACAAATGAGAAGGAAGATGCAAACAAATACTCGATGGCCTTGGAGATTTTTCTTATGATTGGTTGAGGACATTCCTCGAGGTTAGCCAAAAAATGACGATGTATCCAGAAACAGAGCTTCTTCCATTAGTGAAGGCATTCTTTGACACTTGCAGAGGGGTAGCTAGGCAATTTAAGAGACAGAGGGATGAGGCAACAAGAGAGTTTTGAATGTAGTAAAAAAAATAGAGAAAGAAAAAAAATAAAGTATAAAGAGTATGTAGATCCACATTTGAAGTATGAATAAAATCCCTTTTTTTTGCGACTCTTTCTAATTATGTATGCCAAAGCAATCGAAGACAATGTAAGATTCCGATTCGAATATTCAGTAGAGTAGGTCGGAGCTTGCTAGCCTCAAGGAGCAAATGAAGGAGATAATGAAGATGATTCAGGGCTTGCGAAAAGCCCGAAGCTTGGATGAAAATATGTCTACCAAAGGTGGATATAAATACGGCCACAGAGACCGGTCAGTATGGAGAGGCTTCTACAAAATGGTCTGCTTATGATATGCCATCTAATTACAAATGGGAAGGAAGATGCAAACAAATACTCGATGGCCTTGGAGATTTTTCTTATGATTGGTTAAGGACGATCCTCGAGGTTAGCCAAGAAATGACAATGTATCCAGAAATAGAGCTTCTTCCATTAGTGAAGGCATTCTTTGACACTTGCAAAGGGGTAGGTAGACAACTTAAGAGTCGGAGGAATGAGTCAACAAGAGATTTTTGAATGTAGTAATAAAATAGAGAAAGAAAAGAAATAAAGAATAAAGAGTATGTAGATCCACATTTGAAGTATGAATAAAATCCCTCTTTTTTTGCAACTCTTTCTAATTATGTATGCCAAAGCAATCGAAGACAATGTTTGATTCGAGTAGTCAGTAGAGTAGGTCATAGCTTGCTAGCCTCAAGGAGCAAATGAAGTTGATTCAGGGCTTGCGAAAAGCCTGAAGCTTGGATGAAAATATGTCTACCAAAGGTGGATATAAATACGGCTACGGAGACCGGTCAGCATAGAGAGGCTGCTACAAAGTGACCTGCTTATGGTATGCCATCTAATTACAATCCTATTTATGATGATAGTCGTGAGGAAGCGCCCCATCAGGAACATGCAGGCATGTCCAGTAAGGACGAAGATCCTACGCATGGGCTTCTGGCAAAGAACAAGACAACACACTTTAGCCATACTCAGGCACCTCCTAAGGACTATATCCTAAACCCGCATCATTCCCAGGGTTAGGAGGAGATGGAAATGATAAAGGAGAGGCTGAAAGCAATTGAAGGAGCAAACTGCCCAGATCTGAAGAATGCCTTTGAAATGTGTTTGGTTCCAGATGTGATACTTTCACTCAAGTTCAAAGTGTCGGAGTTCGAGAAATATAATGGGACTACATACCCTAAGAGCCACTTACACATGTACGTGAGGAAAATGTTTGCATACCATGGTAATGACAAGCTCCTAATACACTGCTTTCAGGACAGCCTGGTAGGGGTGGCAGTGAATTAGTACATCTGTCTTGAAAAGGCACATATCAGAACATTTGTGGACTTATCGAACGCATTTGTGAGGCAGTATAAGTACAATGAAGGTGATGCACTTGATAGATGCCAGCTGTAGAATATGTCTATGAAGCCATGAGAAAACTTGCGAGAGTATGTCCAACGGTGGAGAGGGTTAGCTTATCAAGTCCTTCCCCGTCTGGAAGAAGAATA